AACCGTTAAAACACAAGGCAGCCGTCGTTCTAAAAAGGTGCATCCTAATGAGAAACAGATACCAGTTCACTTTCCATCAAGCTGGGTTTGAGAAGTGCATAAAGTCCAAAAGATCATTTGAATCCAACACACAAATCCATACGTGGTTCCAACGAATCTAATGCATCATGTTTGTGCAATTGTTCCAGTCAATTACAAGTTATCAGAACCAAGCAGAGTGAGGGAATATGCCCCATTAAGCTGCTTGGCGTCACTAGCTTCTGATGTTTACCGAAATTGACTAATCGACTGCACTATGGTAAAAACAATGAGAGTAAAAGCCCAGGAGACCTCGGAGAATGTTCCGACTGCAGCACACCCGTAATGCTGAGATGTTTTCTCTGGTCTGTAATGTTGTAGAGAAACTGAGAAAGAAATAGAGACGGCCCACTTATCATAGAAAGCACGGCCCCAGGTCCGCTTTAATTGGAAAGGCAGGACAGCCGATCCTTTGTGCAAATGTAAAGCAGTCTCCCGGCAGATATTGACAGGACAGATATTCCTGCAAAGAAAAGACCATCTCAAAACAATGAATGTGTCATTTGAGGTCCAGCCATCCGATTTATCAGACAATCAACAGACATGTCGGCGCGTAGACGCGGCATGAATGCTTCCAAAGCTCTCCTCACTTATTAGCACAGCTTGCAGCGATCGGGCCTGCACGGAGGCAATCAATCAATCGTTGCAGTGCAACTCTCCGGGCTCATTGGTTTCAGGCACAAGCGTAAGCTGTTTACCATAATATATATACGGTTATCTGCGTTGCATAGTAATAAGACGGCCGACGTTAAAAATCGCCACCCAACTTTTGTCAATTGTGCACACTTATCACGCAGCAGCAACTACACGGAGCGCTGCACTGGGAGGGAAAAGACCCACAGACACAAAATGAATCTTCAGAGACACTAACTCAGCTCATCTGCACCCTAAAAACAATAAATGGCAGCAAGCAGCATCGTGGATGATGTTACATTCATTTCACGCTTGGTGCCACAATGATCCAGGAGGCATCTGTGCCCACAAAATGGCAGCTTAAGCTCAGCGCTCGTTCGCTCAGGGCTTTGCATGCTTTGCGAGCACCACTGGGTGCCGGAGTGTGCAATTCTAGATTTGTTTTCTTCTGGTAGCCGAGAGGTCGGTTGGGGAGAATCGGTGTCCAGTTCTAATAACTACTTCTAACATCGCCGGAGACACTTTGTTTTCTGCTGTTGACCACCGTCGTGGTTTAATGTGTATCCCGTAGGAAGCTGAAGAAGTATTGCATCCACAGAACGAGATGCCATTCATCACCTGTAGTCTGCACCAGACGGGCATTGTTCAATGTATTATTCACTGAAATGTGCCATGTATGATGACGGATATAACATAGTAAAATAAGAAGGGAACGAATTCTTATGTAGGAATATATCTGCGCAAAGACAGAGCAGTTTTTATAAGTGGAAAATTCTTAATGGAGGGATTTTGCTGATCACTCGGGTTGACAGAGTAGCTTGTACAGTAACGTACAGGCGACTCGTAGCCTTAGAATAACGACAAAGTCAAGTGCACTGACTTGCTTGTGGCGACTGCAGATACTTGGGAGATATTGTTTACATCAGCCTGCATGCAAAAGACATTTGCTTGAATGTTAAACTCCCTTCAGCGAGTGCGGTAGGTCCAATGTCCTTGTAAACACAAGAGGCAGACAGATGAGAAAATCAAATTAATTGAATCCTCTTCAACAGTGCTTTGTTTTCAGAAAAGGTACCCTCTTATTAATCTATTTCCTCGTGCGCTGTGACCATCACGGCCCGTCACAGGCTGTGTGCCAGTTCGTCCCTTTTGTCCTGGGCAAGAATCCAGGCCATCCTTTATAGCAGTAACTACTTCAACCTGCGGTAAAAGGAAGCGGGAGTGGTTCTTATGACTTTAAATATCCCATCAAGGTCTTGTGATGGATTGACGTCGGCGATGGGGAGAGGAGCCGTCTGTTTACTGCGATGTGAGATGCAAGGCAGGGGAGTAGCGACACACAGCAGCGGTCCAACCACATAAACACAGCCCGGTAGCTGTTGCCTTGGGCATGATATCGAGCGACGCGGAGGACGCACTGTGCAGCCTCGGCATGGTTTCTGTTTCTTCCACACACGGTTCATCAGTTGAATAAGGAAACGCTCGTCAACTGGGCGAATTGTCCCAAAAAAACAAAACCGAGGAAGGTTTTTAACAAAGTGGGAAAAGTAGCACGCCACTTCAGTGTGACTATGACATTTAAGAAAAGCAGGAGAATAATCACACATCGATATTTAGTTCATCAATCAATAGCATACGGCTTCCGCCTGTCACAGAAAAACAAACGGCGGATTTAGCTCGTGAAAAACAGCCCATGATTGAATGAAAAAAAAATGGGTCTTAATAATGAATGAAAGGAAGGCACTCCATGTGAACCAGATTCGTGTGGCGGTGCACTACGAATGAACCCGGGGTTGTGGCCCACCTAATGGGCTTTGGGTTTTCTGCTTCTCCAGGGAGGGGGGGGTAGAGAGACGGGCTGTGAGAAAAGGACGAGCAGAGGAACCATGACAGCGCGGTCCACGCAAGCTAATGGAAACCATTGCCTTCTTGCTGTTTTCTTGTGCATTAACAGCAGAGAGGCTTCCCCATCTTCCCACCCCTGACTGTGCCCCCGCTATCTAAAACTCAACAACCGGGCTTAGCCACGGCCACTGCTTTTAACACCTGATTCAGAAATATCCTTCAGAAAAAAAAAAAAAAAAGAAAAAAAAAAGAAAGAAAAAAAAAAAAAAAAAAGGCTTTTCGCGTAACTTCCGCCACGGTTCAGAATAGCGCATCTCAACCCTGCCACCACTCCATATAATCTGGATGTCACAGGCAATTCTCAGCTCTAGGCAAGCGGAGGGAGAGAGGGAGAGGTGGCCCAGATAAAAGCCCTTTAGAACAGCAGATACCAAAACGGCTCCGGAGAGGCTTCGCCCTGCAGGTAACGATCTAGGATAACTTCCACCTTCACGTGTCCTGACCCTCCGCAGAGGAGGAAGGGAAAGCCCACCACCCCGAAATGACCCGGCTGCAGCGGGGTGTGATTTCAGTTTCTGTTTCCCAGCATCTCTCCCTGCAGATGCACTGCGCTATTATTATTATTATTATTATTATTATTATTATTATTATGACGCTGTGTCACAATCTCCAGACATAACTGACTCTGTGATCAATTAGCCTAATAGCTGCCTCGCTGAGGTGCTCCAGGTGAGAACTGGCTGCCGATGTCACAAATTATTCACCTCAGCCAGTTAGCCTAATTAATTACGCTTCTGGTGGAGGCTGATAACAACTCTCCCCAGAGCTTCCAAATTGGTGGTCCGCATCCGTGACATTTGGCTTTGCAGATAAAAAAAAATACAGCTAACAGTAGCATGAACTGTCACCCTAAAAAAAAAGAAGATAGGTCACTGTGGATGACACAAATATCAATTAGCTGATTAACATTAGCATGTGCTCTTCTTTTACTTTGCCTTTATGCGTTGCACGTCGTTACGGATATGTAATTGAAAGTGATTAGTTACATTACATTAGTTTGATGTGCAATAAAGCAATCAGTACAGTAAATACATGATAGCGGTGTGCACAATGTAATAATGATAAAATAATACGGACCATCTCGTGTTCGTAAAATTGTACGTTTTTGTTGAGCTCTATGGGAGTTCAGGCTGTAGTTATTGACTGTGTACTTATGTCTTGTACTATAAGTGTGTATAATATGTATTGACCAAAAAAAGCTACCGGCTCAAGTCCGACGTTAGAGTCTAGAGTCTTCCATCAAGGCTACATTAGTTTAACCTGCAGTGAATTATTGATGGGAGGAAAATTAAACAATTTATTTAATATTACCTCCCTACTATATACTGTAACTGTTTTTTTCCCCGGCTTAGCAGAGCAAGATAAACTGTAGTGATCTCAATACTTCAACTTTCCGAGAGTCTTACAGTATTAATGGTGGCCAACAGAGGCTCTTATCTCTCATGAGGGGGCCGTCTCCCTGGGAGAAGGGATGGTTTACCCACACAGCAGGGGTTCCAGTGGGGGGATGCTCTCGTGAGGGACAAGCACCACCTTGTGTCGGACACTTGTACTACACAGACAGACAAAGTTTGCACAGACAAAAGAAGAGTTTGGTGGATCTTATGTTAGCTATATGCATATGTTACTATCCTACCTCCACACTCTTGTACGTCTCGTTTGTGTACGCCTCTTTTAGCCCATATCATTCCCGTTATTTTTGGCCAGGTGGAAGCCGTTCTTCAGATTACATGCTTATCTCCGATTTGTTCAGGTAACAGCCCCATTAGTCTGCCCCCTGCCCATACCTGGCCCTCCCTTCGCCCTTAGGCACCTGCCATTTACCACAGGTGGGCATGTAATTGCTCTGTGGCGTGGTCATGTTCTGAGTGGTTAGCAGAGAGCAGCCTCGCTAATGAGGCTACTCGCTGTGATGCTTCTCCAATGCCGAGAAATATATGCCTATGCGTGTGTGTGTGTGTGTGCGTGTGTGTGTGAGCAGGCAGGTGTGAGGCGCCACATACATCTGGTATACGGTTGTAATACAACACAGCTGCTTGCTGCTACATCAAAGGCAGAAACTAGGCGAGTAACCGACAGCCAACGTTTGTGTGTGTGTGAGTCAAAAAGAAAGGTAAAAAGGTACTCGGACATTTCTGCATTTGTTTAAATAAAAACTATGCAGGCACGATCAGTATGTGCATGTGACCACGTCCACAAAAGATGTACATTTCAGTGGTAGTAGTCATTTTTCCGTTTCACAAGTAAATGTGTGGCACTGCTGTCATTTAACTTGTCCTATAAGGTGGGGGGGGGGGTTACAGAGGGCCCACCTATGCATCACCCTTCATCACCCTGTTCCGGTTGTGTAGCCATGAAGTTGTGGATCAGGTGCGGATACTCACTCGTGGTGCACTGTTTGTCGGCGGCCTCGCCCTGAGTGCTGCTCTTGGCCTGCTCCTCTGCTGCAGCGTGGGGCCTCCCGGTCTCCTCGGAGCCCATCATCTCCGTCAGCTGAGCCGGCGCCTGGAGGTCTGCGGTGCCCACAGAGAATCGGTTACCGTCAACAGACAACAATCTTTGCGTGTGTGTGTGCGTAAAAGAAAAAAATACACTTCAGAAACGTACTGCTGGCAAGTTAGAGTGCTCGTGTGTACGTGGATGTGTGTACAAACACCAGAAAAAGACGAGCACTAACCACGAGTCAATCAGAGCGAATATTACCACAGAAACTACAACGATATCCTTTTGCAACGGTGAGATGTTGGGAATGAAAAGCAGTGGTGTGGTGGAGACGCATGCAAACCCCTGAAATTGAGACATTTCAACTCTTGACATCCAGCGGTATTTAAGTTGTTGGCCAAAAATCACAGCTCCTTTCATCTCGTCACAGGGGAGAAAATCCCCCAAGATACACTGCTGCAAATGGACAGCATAGAGTGCTGGGCTAATTGATAGCTTTATAGCAGGGCATTGACGAGAAGATGAAATATTGTGCATGTCGCTGTATTCCTCCTCTCAGGCTATGTTCATATACTATCAACATTATATTTAAATTGTTAATTTTTAAGATTTGTACCAAGTTGCTGGTGTACGATTTATTATTCTAATAATAAACATTTTATTTGGTACATTTTGTTTCACAAAGTTGGGATAGCAATGTTTAAATCAAGCCTCGTGTTGCCTTACACCTAAAAGAATGATCCCAGTCTCTTCCACACAGTGAGGCACACAGCTTATCACTTCAACACTGCTGTGGGATCGGTACTCGGTGCCGGGCGATACCCAAAGCTCAAGTATCAGGACTGAAAAAGTCACATTGGTGCATCCCTATCCCTATCTATTCTGTTCCTGCAATATGTATTCAGCATCCTGTGCTTTTAGTTGCTAAAAGAGAAAATCAAAAGCAACACGGTGACGTCTGAAGATTGCTTCCTCTTTGATAAGCTTCCGGTTTGATGTGGAACAACCGGGCCTCTGTGGTTTAAATCAGAGGGTTGGGCTGTACACAATGCTTTAGACTATGTGGTTACAGATAAACAGGTCTTCTTGTGCAGTTCCCTTAACACTCTGGGGTTGCATGGATTACAATATATGGGGGGTGAAATAAACATGTTGTGCAGAGAGAGAGACATGTTTTCATGGACAATCAATAAAATATATACATGTAGTTATTGTATTTATTTCTGATTCTGTAGTCTTGGCTAGGTATGGAACATATACTGTGAGCGTATATCATTTTTCCAATGTACTCTATCCCCATGTGGGCAGGTGCAGCAACAGGAGTATGTGCATATATAAAGGCATATATGCTTAATATTTGTCAACGTACATAAAAGTCAATACTTAAAAGCTCAAGCGTATCATTTAACTACACCGTGCGTGTGTGTTTTTATGTGCATAAACCTAATTTAGAGTTAGCCTAACTCCACCGGGCAGCGCTCGGGGCTGTTTGGTGAGCGTACAGATGCAGGGAGCCAGCAGACAGCGAGCACAGAAGGTACTGTCTGGAACGCCGGAGCCTCGGGCATCGCTCCTCTCCGCACCACATACTCTACACTAAAAAACAGACTCCTCCGTCAAGTACCACTGGGCAACCCTACAGAATCCCCCCCCCCCCAAAAAAGCAGGTTTATACTCTGAAATAATCTATCAAAAGAAAAGAAAGGAAGGTGACAGAACAGGCCAGGGACTACACCGCCAACACGGACCAGCTCATTATTCAAGTGACTGAGTATTCTTCCAAAATCTTTATTTATTTAGATAAACAAATGATGCGTTTCATTTCGGTGTAATTAGTGTGCTAAATGAGTCTGCTCTACCAATAATATACTGAAAACAACCAGCTACATAAAGTGGGCAATGCAGACAGAACAATGGGTATTTATCAAGTAACGGGACTTATTAACGGTTGTGATCTTGTAATGTAAGGACCGAGATACGACTTGGCAATGGGAGATATTTTTAGTCTTTAACTCCGCTACGAGCCACAACGCTGACATTACACCAAGTCTTGTAGATGAGATATTAAAAAAAAATAATAATTTAATGTATATTGCGCCTTAATTTAGACAGCGAACCGACAGGTGTCTATTATCAGATATTAACGGACACCTTGCTGCCAATCAGAATAGAGTATATAAGGATATGTTTGGGCCTGCACATTTTCCCATGTTTCCAGAGAGATAATAGTGTTTATCTGTACAACTGTGTACAGACAGGAGTTTATGTTTCGGTACGACAGCGAGTGTGTGTTATTTAATGACAGAAAACACCGAGCGGTTTCCTCACCTCTCTTCCTGCGCGCCTCCTTGATCTCTTCACACATGCGGTCGAACTCGGGGTCCAGCTCGGCAGCAAATATAGCGTGAGCGGTGTCCTTTAAACTGCATGCTCGGTGCCTGATCACCTTGTCTGAGAGAGGAGACAGTGAAACACAACATTAGTGTCACAACACACAACACTGGTTTCAAGTGCTTGACATGTATATTCAAGGGGCGCGTCCTTTGTAAGGCAGGATATCAAATCTGTATATGTGCCATGGTAGTCTAACAATTTTTCTCTTTTAGATATTGATTTCTTTTTTCCTTCTTCCATTTAGTTTGCAGTTTGATGTTGCATGCATGCCCCCCCCCCCCCATCATGTATGGAAATGCAAGACAAGGAGTCGATACCCATTCCACTGTATGTGTGAGAAAAGGGATCGCAGCATTTTCTCACAGGTTGAATAAAAGGATAGCGCTAGCTTTGGTGAGAAGCGTTAACAGGCATAACTCGAGTAATGCACGAGGTTCTGGATATCACCACTTCACCCATTCCAGACAGAGGAGGGTGCATTCACACAAACACGCTGAAATGTTGTGTTTTTTTTTTTAATAAAACGCATACTCATTCGCTCTCACATGCACACTCCCTTACACCTTCACAACTCGTATGTCTCTTAGATGTAGCGCAGCATCATTAAATCCGGCTCCTGCATCCATGGAGGGAAAATAGAGATGGAGCTGAAGTGGCAGACTAAAAGCAGAGGCACAGTAAACAGACAGCCTCTCATTACGGCAGGCAGAGGGAGAACAGTTCAGCCAGAGAGTGGCAGAGGGGTCACAATCTGCCATCTTCCTTTGTCCAATTGGAGGGTGGCTGCCTAATTGCGATGGAGGCAATTTGTGTGTGCTTTTCTACTGACAGAGTATGTCTGAGTGTGTGTGTGTGTGTGTGTGCATGCATTATAAGTGGGGGAAGAATGGCCGTCAGTGGAAGGGGTGTCAAAAGCCAGGTGGGAAGCCGAGAGCTCATCAGAACCCTTATTGGCCCTGAATAACCTCTATCTAGAACACGCAAAGAACGTTCTGACATACAGCGCTGTTGCTTACCGGCACAGTCACGGGGTTGTTATCACCGTTTCCCTCAAGCAATAAAGATGCATTTGTGAAACTGAGTCACATTGTGGAGCACAGAGATATCAGCCTTTTTTATAAACGTAACCCAAGTTATTATTTAGCGAGGTGAGGGGGTAAAAGACAAGGAAGCAGACGCGATTGCACGTGGAGGACGGTGCGATGAAGATAGCGCGAAGGACAAGGAGAGACGGAGCACTCAGGGATAATGAGGGTTTTTTTCCCCGGCACTTTTTTCAAGCTGGTGTAGAATTTCCCCAGCAGCGTAATTGTGCACGGCCATATTTCCCGGGCAAAACGCTGGGTGAGAGGCTTTCTTGGTCTTCTTTATTAACCTGCCTAATTGCATTTTTTTCTCTTTAGCGTTTCATTTGTAGACCCGGCATTCCAACAAATGACCCGAGCCCTCGCCTGCAAAGACCAGAGATATGATTTATTAATTTGGGCTGGAAGATAATTGCTTCCCATCGGTGTCAGGCAGCTACATCTTTTTGAGGGAACAAAGCAGGTAAACACACAGGGCGAGAATTTAAATGGTCATATTGAATGAAAGGTCTGAAGCAGGTCTTCTGCATGCAGCTTTCAATTATCATCATGGTACTGCTGTTGAGGATTAGATTCTGGTAGAAATAAACTGTTTCTCTTCCGTGCAACAAGCTCATTTTCGCAAGCATCTTTTCCATGATTTTTTTAAAATATATTCACAAACATGCATCCCTCTTCACATGGGCTTTTCCCTGTCGTGCAGGCAAGTAGCCAATTTAAACAACGCATATAAATCCAATTTATTTTGTAAGCTACTGCAAATAACAGGCCTCTTTGTTTGCATTATGTGTACATGTGTGCTCTTGTGTTTTCCAGCACTCATTATGGAGCCCATGTTTGGCTTTGGAAAAGGTGCTGAGACGGGGAGGAGGATGATGTAAAAATCGGTTCAAACTGCAAGACAAGAGACAATTAAATTTTCATGCATATGCAGCCTCTCAGCTACGGAGCAGGAATTACACAGTGGGAATGTATTTCCAGGGGGGGAGGCTGTATGCACTTTATTTCATTTGAATTCCAAGTTGAAGAAAACCATCTTGAGGCCTGGAAGCCCTTTTCATAAGTCATTAAGTGTTAAATCTAATTACTTTTTCCTCACACAATGACAGCCTAATGGAACACAACAGTGACTGCAGAGACACATGGTCGGACTTATTTGGAGAGTCCAATGTTGATTTATTACCATGGGACCCTCGGAGGCCTTCACAAGAACTAGAAAACTAAAGAACTTATTTTGGGATACAGAAGTGTGAAAGCTTGTTTAGAGATATCCGTTGTCAGTTTCAGGGACAATCTTAAGATTGAGTTTAGGATTAAAGGAATTCCTCAACATTTGAGTGAACTTACTTGTGTGTTTTGTGAAGTAATTTGAGTATCATCCCTCAAGACAACATGACACAGTGGATATCCCTGGTCACATTGGGGTCACTTACAAACAGACTGTATATAAGAAGACCTGGTTTGTGGACAAATGTTTTGAAGCCTCTAGTTTGGCATATTGGCTGTCGCCACCTTGTTTTTTGTAACCAGACGTGACGCAAGAGGGTGGAGTCATTTTCCTCATTGACTTCTATTCAATCGGACTTCTTTTTGCAACCGGAGTCCCCGCCCTCTGATGGGCACCAGAAAGAAGGCAGGTTCTCCTTCCAGACCCGCAGGTTGCAGCAGCCTGCTTGCAAACTCAACCGCGGAAGGTCGTGACGTGTCTAACAGTTCAAACTCTCTGGCTCCGAGACCGACTAGTCACAGGCAGCTGGCCTGATGACGAGCACACTTCATCTCCCAAGCAAGGGGAGGACGGGAGGGGGTTACACATACACACACACACAGTACACAAACACACCAGAGACCTGCAGAAGAGACACAAACACCGGCATCTTAGATAAGATGCACTTTGTGTCAGATATTCTCAGATACTACTGACTGTAGCGCTGCATGTGACTTAGGTAAGCATCTTTACACACACACACACACACACACACACACACACACACTTTTATGTTCTTTCTGTATTTGCTTTGTTTCTGTTCTCCTTAATCAAAGCTCTAATATCTCTTCAGCGTGAGACATCAAGCAGTCTCCTGCCGCTGCTTTGGTCTCAAGTTAATCTGCTCATAAGATTTCCATCACAGCTTTCTTGCCAAGTCCTGGATGAAATGATCACCATTAACTTAATCTCTATGCTTTAAAAGAAAAGAGATAATTCCGTGATGCATTCAGCCCATTTTAGCACACAAATTCCAGCCATTTTGAACTTATTGTTTTATTAAAACTTGGCAGATTGTGTTGAAGTACAAGTAAGCACAAGTCTGCAAGCATGTGGCTTTCGCACACATTAAATTGCATATTGCATTTATGTACAGTACCCTACACATGTACGTAGTATTACTCCTCACCTCCAGGATCCTTGTCAGGATTGTATTCTAAAGCGTTGCTGCAGATGAGGTCGATGTCCCTCAGGAACTCCTTCACTCTCAGGTACTGGTGGGTGTCAATCTTGGTCATGGCAGTGGACAGGTCCATCGGCTGCCCAATAACCTCCAGGTAGTCCGACACCTGACACGCAAAGTCCATTTTAAGACAGGATTAAAACCGGATTTGTCAAACTGTGAGTGAGATACCGGGACGCGGGTTCAATCCTCTTTACCTCATCGATGTCAACCGGCTTGCTGAAGATGTTGAAGCGTTTGTCGGTGGCCAGGCGCTTGGTCACGTCCCTGAGAAAGAGCCGGAGCTCCCGTAGTGTGTTCTCCTCCTGCTCAGCCAAGCGGCGCTGCTCCTCTGTTGACAGGACTCTGGGGCCCGGAGCCTCCGCCGCCGGCAGCACCTCTTCACACCTCCCTGTCGAGAGGGAAGCAGAAACAGAAAAGTACGCCGACGAATTAGAATGCATTTTCATACAGCTTCCATCTATAGACCTAAAAAAAAAAATCTAACGCCAAGAGCGATCCAGAGACAAAATAAAGAATGTTTAGTTGCTGTGGGCAAACGCACAAACAGAGGCCTCACCTACAGGCAAAAGCACTACTCCATCTATGCAGATATAAAATATAGGCACACAGCTAGCACATTGGTTGGAAGTGGACAACCAGACAGTCCACCAATCTCAGCCCGGATCCTTTTTTCATCATCGCAGACACGGATCAAAAAATACTTACCCCAGGTTAGAAGAAAAAAAAAAAAAAAAAAAAAACCTTTTAAGATTCTTGCAGCTCTTTCCTGAACACAGGTTTTGATATCCACTAAGGAAAAGCCTCTGGACTATGACAGAGTGATGAAGAAAGGCAAGCAGACATCCTCTCCTCCTCTCCCAAGGCGCCAGTCCTCGCCCAAGGCATCTGCCGACATCGTTAGGAAGCTCTCCACAGCACCTCGGGCCGCTTCACTCGGCAGCAGCAGCAATCCAAAGCCCTGATTCTAATTATGGCTAATAACAGCCAGGCCCCTCGTAGCGATTCCTCTTCCCTGCTTTCCCGCCGGCCTCTCTGCTGGAAGCCATAATGCTGCCTTATCCAGGCAGGAACCCCCGAAGAGCACCAGGCGAGTAAAGCGGGGGACCCCTGCCTGGCATCAATGAGCAAACTGCGGCTGAATGCTGGGCACACAGTTGTCTTATATTGAACCTGAGCGAGGGGACCACTGAGGACTGGGGGGGCAAAGGCAGGGGGGGTTGGAGGGATGGTTGGAGGCTGATGATTTTGATGTGCATGAGGGTTGGAGTTGTCCAGAATAAATACTGGCTTCACACTTTTATTCTCAATCTCTAAAGAGATATTAAACAGATTCTGAACAGGTAAAACATGTAACTGCAGAGTGCAAATGTGAGTCAAGTACACATACAGGAGGATATTTCAAACACTGAAAGACTGTGGGAGAGATAGAGAGCAGAGCTGGGAAGGAAAGAAGCATTAGCAGACAACACTGCCCTCTAGGACCGACAGCAGAGATGAGTCATAACCGTCTCGTCCCGCATGTCTCAGTGAATGGCACTCAGTACCTGTAGTCCTGAGGCGAGGCGGAGCCCTGGCTGCTTGGACCAGCAGCAGGTCGGAGAAGAAGCTCTTCCTGTCCTCTTCTGCTGGAGAGCACAGCGTCACGACCTCGCCGTAGGTCCTCTGGAACAAACTTCTGAGCTGTAAGAAAAACAATCGGGGATGAGAATTCAGTTCACCATATATCGCTATCACTTACAATTAAATCCCTTTTAATATAAATCAGGTTAAAGCATATAATAACAAGCACAAAGGCACCTAGCTTAGCCTGAAAATGGTAAAACAATGGCGTCTGTGCGGTAGGTTCGTGTCTAAAGCTTCTACACTAAATGCATTTCTTTCATTTCTTAATTTCGGCTCCCTGCTAAATGTATTACATTTTGAGAATACTTCATTTCATTTACCCACCGTCTTCTTGAACTAATTACTCCAATTTATGTTTGTTACATAAAAGACAGCGTGCAGCTGATTGTGCCAGTTTTCATCAGATCCTAACATTAAAGTGAAGCCCGACTGAGCACAGCAGAAACCCAGCGCACCGCTTACAAGTTGAGGACTTCACCAACAGACGACATATTTCATGTCCAGGTTAACCGCAACAGTGGGACAAAAATAAAAAAGGGTCTTTAGTGATTTCAAGACCACATGATAGCTGATCAAAGCAAAGCTTCCGAACTTCATCAATAATGCATCGCCTTTAAAAATGCAGTAGTTTCAGGATGTGGGCCCAGATATCATTTTAAGCTTTCAGATATTTAAAATATGGACTGTTTAAAAAAAAAAAAAAAAAAAAAAAAAAAAGGTAAGAGGTCTGAAGTTGTTTATACTCGTGCTCGGCACCGTAGAGCGAGAAAATTGCGCTAATTTAACTGAATCATAGATGAATAGTTAAAAAGTGCATTGATTTGATTGCCTCTCAACATGGCGACGCCTGAGCAATTGGCCCGTAGCTTTCGGTGCCAACAGTGCTTAAGGTACAAACTGCGGCAAGCGTGCCTACAGAGCCAACAGTGTTGGCTGAGGGGGAACCAGAGGGTGGGCGCTACACTTCCTCACCGAGTCCAACGACGCCGTCGGTCAGGACGGCGTTATCAGCTGTAACCGCCTCATGAGCAGTGCAGGACGGCGGCCGTGAGACGACCAGTGGGACACGCCCACATGCACCAACACGCACTGAAAGCACGCGCAGCCGACCCGATATGTCAACGAAGCGAGGAGAAGCTCCGATAACGACATCCACAGAGGGAGAGAGACTTCATTCTCTGCTCAGGTTGACACTACACCATTGTATCTTTATGCAACAAATAGTTGTTTTGCTGCTATATTAATGCTCTGAATGCTGTAAATTGCTCTTTTAAAAATACAATATTGGTAGAGAGATGCATAAACCTTTTTCCAGCTCCATAACATTCTGGTGTGCATCCCCACCGGGGCTTCAAAGATCCCAGTTCACTTCCATGATGGAGCTCAAGGCTGCTCCTGACAGGAAGCCCTGTTGCTGACAAAGCACCTTCTTTACCTACCTACCTACCTACCCCCATCTGTCTTTCACATCGATCCTCTCCTTTACCCATGACATGTTTGTTCTCTCTCTCCCCACATTGCCTTCTGTTCTTTCTTATCCTCTCTCTCTTTGGAGTTCACTCTCTCCTCAGAAGGCAGGAGGGGAAAAGGAGGAATGGAGTAAAAAGGAGGAAGACAGTAGGGGAGCCAGAGACAGCAAAAGTGTATGTAGCACACAGCGGGTAATGATCCGCAGCATTTTTCATCATGATGAAGGCTGCAGGGGTGTTGACACACGGAGGGTTAGCAGAAATGTGTGGATAGATGAATGCTTGAAAGCTAATAGAGAGCTAAATGTACAAAGAGAAGAGCAACTATAAAACAAAACCGGACAGCTGTTCTGCTAGCATGATCAATTCTGAGCTGCAGACAGACTTAAAAGAAAAAAAAAAAGTAAAAAGTCTTTTGTCAGACTGCCGAGCTCCGTGCTGTTGCTACATCTTTATCTCAATTTTCTAAAGATGAAAATCCCCTCTGCAGGTATTAAAGTGAGATGGCAATAAAACACAGCGTGAGTGGGAAAAACTCTTCATCTAATCCACATAAAAAACAGCTGAGACGCCTTCGCGAATTACAACCATCTACAACTACAAGGGTAAAGAAGTAATGTCAACGTCCTGCGTTAGGAAAAATGTTTAGAAATGACAATCCGGACAGAAATGTACACACTAAAGTCAAAATGGTGATCACTGATTGAGGGTAAAACAGCATGAGATGGTCAGGTGGATTGGTGAGGCGTCAGCAGTGATGGTCGAGCTTCAGGACGTCCCGGGACGGGATAGGAGTCAAATATGATACAAATTGAGTGGCGTTGACAATGACTGCACACAGTTCTTATTAAACCCCTTTGACAACAAAGCTCTCAATTCACCACTCCATCTACATTCAGCAACTCCTCCTGGGAACTGAAAGGAGTCAGTCGAGGTGGTCCGGCCATCTGATGGGGATGCATCTCTGTAGAGGTGTTCCAGCACGTCCGACTGGGAGGACACCACAGGGCACGCTGGAGGGATATCACATCCCATCTGGCTCGGGAATGCCTCGGGATTCCCCCAAAAATGAGCTGGAGGATGTGGCTACGGAGACAGACGAGTGGGCTACCGGACTGAATGTTTAACATCCACTGAGGAGAAATGACCAGTGATGTTAAAAGTGCACTGCTTTAAGAGTTGTGTACAAGAGCTCCATTGAAAGACGATAAATGATCATAAAGAATAACCGCTGAGCTCTGGTTCATATCAAAGCCCGCTAAGATTACATTATCCACTTATTATTTATGACCGTGACCTCGGTATCGCCCATTGTGTTTGTTTACTTAAAAATGTCCCCAACATATCAGCCAACATGGTGCCAGAACAAACAGGAGAGCTTCCCTTACCATTGTAAGACCTGAGCATGTGCAGGCAAGACTCATTGTCTCATTCCAATTCAAATGTTACCAAGTAATAAAAGCAAATAGCTCTTTGACAGGGTGTATTTGTATTATTATGCTATTCTATCATATCAGTGGCATAAAATGACAATAATATCCGTCGCAAAGAAGTTATCGTGACGGGCATATTCATACCATTTACAACACACCGTTGTGTGATGTACGACGCCTCGGAACCGCACACCCTGAAGAGCAAAATGAAGGGACACTATATCTCACTCCAACTACAGTTGCTTCACACTTTAAATCACACGTTCGAGCCATTTCCATCGGTCCTCCGCCGTGGAGGAAGTCAATGTAACGGCGTGAGCGTCTGCCGAGGGAGGGAGGGAGGCTGTGTAGTTGGACCACAGCCTGTGGTGTCAGCTTTGGCTGGGGAGGGATGCTGCCTCTTCCCTGCTGCGGTCTGGAGCGGAGACAGCAGCTGTCACTGTGTTCTCTGTGCCAGAGAGTGAAACAACACTTCCAGAGATCGCCAAAATCACTTGAAGCGCCATCGACTGCAGCGCGCGTGTGTGTGTGTGCGCCATAAAAAAAAATGTAACCAAAACTCCACTGGGCCACTTTGAGACAAGAGATAAGCATCATTTGACAAAACAAATGAAATGCGAAATAGGTCAAATTTATAGACGAGACAAAACTGCTTAACATGCACACGGCCTCAGCAGAAATTCACTCACTCAGCAAATAATCTGCAGATCGTACGCTCAGTGGGAAACGTGAGGGCCGGTTTCAGTGGGCAGAAACTTCAAAGCTGCTCGTTATCACACTCGTAGTACAGCTGAGAGCATGTATTTATGTAAACAGTCCATTTATGTATTTATGTGGCAACAGCACAGCGTCAAGAGACTTGGAACCAAAATAACCAGAATCACCGTTAATGGAAACGACTGAAGGATTCATTGAACAGCAGGCTTATCAAAACTAGTAAATATAATAATACAACAATATTAATAACGTCATAGTTGAACATCTAGGCCGGTCCTTTGTCATTGCCAGTGTGGGAACAACACAGAAGGAGGCACAGCGTGTGGTACAGGTAGAGTGGTTTGCAGAAGTTAAGAAGAAGAAGAACTGATTAACAAGTGTAATGGAGTAATTCCATAACAAACTAGCAGCGCAAGACACTGAAATGGGGAAGAACAGCCAGGACAAAGCCGACGTAGCCCGAGGACAGCGTTGATATGCTCACGCTGGCTCCATATTGACTTGGGCACACCATTTGTCCCATCACAAGATCCCCGATACTCCAGGCTACACGTTATGTGTTCAATGACCAAAGAAAAGGTAAATTTAATGAAAAGAAGTAATTGCCAATCCTACGTGGTTTCAGCCAGTCACCTAGCATGTAATGAACAGCAATCTGCCATGAGACACTTTCATATTGCTAATCACCAAACACGGTGGAGGGAAGGGAAGCAAAACGCCTTGAACAATGTTAAGAGTAATATCAAACATAATACAAAGAATGGCAGGGAAAGAAAGATAGAAACGCAAGTAAAAAATTGAAAAGAGTGTCAACTACAACTCCGGGGTTAAAAAAAAAAAAAAAAAAAAAAAAAAAAAAAAAAAAAAAAAAAAAAA